ACACTGCCTATTACATTTTTAAATGTTTCTATGTCTGGAAGAAGGTTGCTCTGTGAAGCTGAAGCAAGGGCAATGATGGATGATGGAGAGCAAGCAGGTTCCACATTGTACACTTAGGGGTCAGGCTTGTTGCGGTTTTGAGAGTTCAGAAAAAGAACCAACCATCAGATGACAAATCTGGGTAAAATCATCAGTGGAGATTCTTTCTTTCATATGGGGGAAGTTCTAGTTTATCACAAAGGACAATGTCAGAAGCAACATAGGTGGCTTAGGGCAGTGGTGTTCAAATAATTTGATCACACCCTCCATTAATAAAAAAATTGGGAGATTATTCTTTTGATCTCCTAACATATGTAAATTTATTTATGAGTTATTTGCTATGTCTTATTTATAACTTGTTTCCTACATTAATGTCTCAAAGCAAAATTGCACTTAGGATGAGGTCGATCCTTAAGGATAATACATATAAATTTCATTTTTCAAGTTGTATTTTTGAGCTGACCTCATGTCAGATCTGATTCTGTGAAAACAAAGTATGACTTCGAATGAATAAAACACAATAAGATGTTTTAATATTTACAAGTTTGTTCTTCTCCCTGGAGGGTTTAGTTGGGTAGCCGTTCTGGAGACCTTGGGTTCAGGGGAAAGGCCATAAGGAGGGGAGCAGCCTGGCTAAGGGTCGGCATCTGGCTTCCTTCTCGAAGCCTCCAGCTTTCACAGCAGGAAGCAGGCTCTGTTCTCCAAGTCCTGCATTGCTCTCGCTTGTCCCTTGTCATATTTAGGGACAAGGCAGCCAGGGTTGGGGAAGCCTGGCAGCCCTGAGATTTGGGGCCTTGTTACCGCTTTGTCACTAGCTTGCTCTGGGACTCTGAGCACATCTGTTTCTGTGGATCATAGCTTTCTCAGGCCCCTCCCACCATTCTGTAAGAGGTCCCTCCCACCATTCTGTAAGAGGCCCCTCCCACCATTCTGTAAGAGGTAGCTCGGTATAGCTGGCTTCTGTGAATCCTGGGTTCAAATCCACGTGAAGCCTATGTGGCCTTGAGCAAATTACTTTTTTGAGCCTTGTTTTCTGACCTAGAAAATGTAACTATATTCAGTTCATGAGGATTAAATGAGATTCTCTACATCAGTGGACATGTATTTTCCTTTCTCTCTTACATCTGTGATTCTCCAATTTTCTCTGGGGCATCAGAATTCCTGGGGAATCCTCCCCTCACTCCCCCATCCCACTCCGTCTCTGCAGTCCTGAAGCACTGGATCTGGGGTGAAGGCCCTCAGTTTGCATTTTTATGGGCTCCTGGGTGGTGGCCCCCCCTGAAAACACCCGCCTTTGTATCTCTCCTCCCACATCAAACACAGAGCCTTGCACTTCAAAGTGTTCAAAAGAAAACAAAAGGACTGCGCAGGTGAAGGCAAGGAAAAACAAACCCCCAGGGAGGCTGCTCAGCCTGCCCGGCCTCTGTTTCAGGGCGGTTCCTTGTCTGGCCTGGTCTGCCTGGCCCTGCTAGAAAGCATGGCGGGGTCAGACCGTGTTTGTCAGCTCTCCACGCTCCTCTCCCCTGGCTCTGTTTTGACAGGTGTGTCCAGGGCTAGTGCAGCAGATGTTGCCAGCTCAGCCCTGGCCAGGGAAGAGGAGCAGGAGGGAGGCCTGGTGGGGGCCGATTCTGCCCAGTCCCCTGTGCTACCCCAGCTGGAGGGGCACTGAGGTGTCCTGGGAGGAAGGCTGGGCAGGTTGGGGTTTTTTTAGAGCTGCTCAAGGACGTGCCTAGGTCTGTGGCCTCCAGGAAGCCCCTTGCTCTGCTTAGAAGAAGGCCCAGGAGCTCCTCCAGGCTTTGCATGTCTGGTGGCAACAAAAACAACCCAACGACAGAAGCTATGATTCTAATGCTGTGACTGCCTCCGGCCGCTGTCACTTTTCCGTCTGGATTCAGGCTTTGCTGCCTTGGGCCTGGAAAGATCCAGGAAAGCAACCAAGCAGGGCAGGAGGAAGAGCACTTGGTTAGAATTTGCAGGACAGGAATCGGGCACACCAGGATGACTCCCAGATGGAATCCAGCCTGGGCCACACTCTTTGTTTCCTGGTAAAGAAACCGAAGGTTAGAGCAGGGCAGGGCTGGGCCAACAGTCCCACAGTAAATGGAGGACCCAGCAGGGAGAAAGCACGAACTGCCCCATTCCATGTCCACGGAGACTCACTCGGGAAGCCCACCCAGGCTCCCCACTGCCCGCCCCACCCACCCCTGTGGTCAGCTCTCGGGATTTTCGGCACCTCCGGTGGCTCAGATGCCCCGCAGGACCACTTAGTACTAGGGTCTGTTTGCTGACATGAGACAGAGAGAGGGATTGAGGGGGAGAAATGTGCACAGGAGCAGCCCAATGGCCTTAACCAACAGCAAAACGGAAGTGGCCGCAACACCAGAGATGGAGACACTTGAGTTGCCCAGGAACCGAGAGGCTGGAGTTCTAGTCCCAGTCGGGCAACAAGCCCCTCCACCTCTCTCAGCCTTTGGTTTCTCACTTGAAAAATAAAGATGAACTGGGCGAGTCACCAGCTCGTTCCTGGCTCTAAGCATGCGGGCAATGCCAGGTGGGAGTGTGTGGGGGCTCGAGTCCCGGCCACTTGGCTGCAGAGGAGAGTGGTGCGTGACACTGTGATTCCAGAAGCCCGGGGTCTGCAGGGCAAACGCTATCATGATAACGCCTGATGGTTATGGAGTGATAACCATCACCGGGTACTAGGTTCTGAATTGTGTCCCCACAAAAGTCCGTGTGACACCCCAGCCCTCAACGTGACTGATCCAGAGATAGGGTCTAGCAGGTAAGGAAGATTAAATGAGGTCATAAATCCAGCAGGTCTATGGCCTTCCAAGAAGACGAAGAGAGCCCTTGCTCTGTCTCTCTGTCTCTGTCTCTCTCCCCTTCCCCTCATCTCTCTCTTTCCCATCATGAGAGGGCACAGCAAGAGGGCAGCCGTCTGTAAGCCAGGAAGGGCTGACACCCTGATCTTGGACTTCCAGCCTCCAGAACTCTGAGAAAATAAATTGCTGTTGTTTGAGTCGCCGTGTCTGTGGGATTTTGTTATGGCTGCCCGCGCTGACTAAGACACTGGGAAATTGGCCAAGAGCATCATTTTACGTAATGCCCTCGGCAACCTCATGAAGTCGGTACAGCTATAACCCCTGTTTTACAGGGGAGGAATCGGGAGCACGAGGAGTGAAGTCACCCGAGACTGAGGGTTTCAATAGAGATACTTCTAAAAACTCTTTATCTATGTGACTCTGGGAAGTTGATGAATCTTTCCAAATCTCAGTTTTCCCATCTGTTAAAGTAGGGAAAATAATAATATAGAGAGATTACAGATATATAGCTGTTATAGCTACATTACAAATTGTGGCGAGGACTAATATACGTAAAGTGCTTAGAATGCATTCTCCTGCGGAGAAACCCTCCCACTGGTGTTTGCTATTATTATTACTGATAAGGTTATCCTCCTGTTCCTGTGTAACCAAACGCAGATTTGCTGGCCGGCTTTGCTCATGGTCACTCTTGCTCTTGTGCCTCTAATTTTTCACCACGTGCTCCCTCTCCCTCTGCCTCTGCCTTGTGGCCACTGGGTCAGGCAGACCTGCTGCTCTCCCAGCAGAGCTCAGGGTTTCTGGAGTGAGGGGCTGGGGGTTTACGATGGGACTCCACAGTGCGACTGAATATCCAGGGGGCCCCAGCATCCATTGGTTCCCGTTCAAAGGACAGGTGAGGCGGGACCCCTGAAGGCATCGTGCCCCACCTCAGGCAGAAAGGACCAGAAGACACCACCGTCCTGGAAACAGCTCTTTACTGAGTCAGTGATACTATGTGACAGGATATCGTATGTAGACAGGAGGGTTACATGGCATTGGGGGTGTCGGGAGTGCAAGCCAGTTGCACATGTATTACAAGAAGAGGGGGTCAGTAAGGCTTCTGGAAGGGGGAAGGGGCCAGTCTCTGGGTCGGGTTGCGGAGGGAACAGCTCCCAGCCCCCACCCTAGGGGTGGTGGTTATCTGTTAGAATACAAAGTAAGGAAGGCCTCCCTGTGAGTTCGCCCTGCTGGGGACGCCCCAGGGCGCCTCTCTGCCAGTGTATGCAAGACTTTGGAGGTGGGTGAGAGGTGACATCAAAGACAGCCTCTTGTGGATGTGGCCCGTCCTCCCCCACCACCTCCCCGCCTTATCTGGTCATGCTGCCTTGTGCAGAGAGGCCTCTGGGTCTCAGTGAGGGGGACAAGGGATGTGGGGGTGGGCAGGGGAGGGCTGATGCAGGAGGGGAGAGCTGCCCTGCTCCTAGGGCACAAAGTCATCAGCCCAGGATGGGAGTGGGACCTCCGGCAGCGCAAGGGAGGCAGCTTTGCAGACAGCCGGTGAGCACAGCCTCAGCCCGGTCCTCCAGCCTCCCAGGTGCTGGGCTCCATTTTGGCTCCAGGGCCTGGAGAGTGTCCCGGTGCAGATGAACTCCAGCTTGGTCTCTTTCTGGGATGCTCCTGAGAGGCAGATGCAAGGACTAAGAGAGAAATTTTCTGGAGACGTGGGAAAAAATGTTGAAATTCTGGGGGCACAGTGCTCAGGGTCCAGGTGGAGATGCTCTATCCTGTATGAGGCAGGGGTTGCTCCCAGGAATCTGCTCCATGGTTACGGGGAGGGTCTCATGGTTGCCAAATCCACCTCATCCCCAGACTCTGAACCATAATCCCCTGCAAATGTTTTCCTGGGTCTTTTCAACCTCCGGGAGCCTCAGGGAACTGCCAGCCAGGAGGGGTGTGCAGATGCTGGCAAGACTGGCTTGAGTCACCAATTCAGAGCCAGAGTCAAGACCTTTCTCCTGGAGGTAGCCCATTCCCTGGCAGGCTCAGTCACAGGAGAGGGAGTCTTCTCCTGCCCTCTCCTCCTGTCCAGCCAGGGCCACCCAGGTGGCCCCCCTGGCCAGCAGGGAAATGCATG